CTGCGAGTGAACTAGTCTTTAAAACATTTTTGAATTCTCAGTCTAGGAAAGAGCTAGCATGTGATGAGGATTTTCTCTGTGCTGGGCTCCTTGCTTGTACCATCTCACTCAACCCTCATCAGACCTCAACAAATGAGGGGTGTTTCTCATTTCATAGCAAGGAAGTTAAAGTCAAAGAGGTTATGAAACTTGCTTAGGCCACATGGCCAAAAGTGGCAGAGGTGCAGTTTGAATTAGGGTGTACCTGACCCCATGGCCCGTGCTTATTGGGATGCTTTACACCACGCCAACCCTCAGACAAACCAGACACCCTCCTTCCTCATCCCAGTGATGCATGAGACATCCTGTCTTCACAGATTTTCAAAAAAAGGTGTTTCCTCGACTTGCTGGTGCCAGCCCAGGGTTTGAAAGGCCTTTCCCATTTTGTCGCCTTAGTTTCTGAGATGTTGGGGCAATGGAATATCTGGGAAGAGAAGCGAGGCTTAAATGCTTCCCTGGAACCACAGCTGTGCACAGTACAAGAGAGTAGATCACAGGGCATATTCTATCCTGTAGTTCAGGGTTTCTCAGTCTTGGCACTATTAGCATTTTGGACGAGATTATTCTTTGTTGGGAGATGAGAGGCATTGTCCTGTGTACTGCAGAATATTTAGCACTAGTTATGCCCCCACCCCTAGTGGTGACAAATCAAAGTGTCTTCATATATTATTGCCAAATGTCTCTGGGGGACAAAGTCCCAGTTGGGAACCAATATATAGTTCACAGGCCCAGGTGCCATTGGAGGCTGGGAGAAAGAGGAGGCCAACAAAGACCAGAACAAAGGTCCTCCCAGAAGAGGTGACCCTGACTCTTGGGTTCTTTCAATGGCAGGAAGATGTGGCTCAGAGGGAGGGTGCAGGGAAGATGAGTGCTTCCTGGAGGATCTTGGTTCTGACATGCCAAGGAGATGACTGTGTCATCAGGAAAACTCAGATATTTCTTCCTCCTGGAACAGCAGCTTCAAGATAGCTGCTCCTAGACTGCGAAGGTCTTGAATCCAAAGTCCTGAAGGGCCAGCTAGGCATCCACAGTCTCAGCCCAGGAGGAAAGAACTCATTTCTAGTGGTGCTTTTGTCATCATAAGCCCTCTGAGGAACCTACCCAGAGATTTGTCCAAGGCAGCAAGAGGCGGAAAGTAGGGGCACAAAATGAAAAGGTCACCTCCTCCTCTCTAGAGGGCTTTGGGCATTCAGCGGATAAATCTGTCTTAGGCCCTGGCATTTAAACCCAGGTCACTGACTATAAACATGGGACCTCTGTCCCATGACCAGGGTTAATGGCATATCCTGATGACTAATCTTATTGCCTTGGGGAGATTGAGACACTGACAAGGAAAAGCAAAACTTGCTTATGTGTCAACTCAATAAACTAAATACATGATGTTAATAATGCTAATTACGATGTAGTAATACTTCGCCTAGCTCTTGGAAAAGGTTGAGAGTGAGAGGCTTAGGCTTACTGCTAGGAACTTCATTTCTGGGAAAAGAAGTACTGGGGTGGATTTCTTACCCTTGTCTAGAATGCTGCATGTCCACCAAGATCACTTTCCTTTTCTTCTTGGTCCCACAGTGGACATATTCTTTCCTGCCTCACTCACAATTAGAAGGGGCCATGGAATGAGAGTAGGTGAGATGCTCCAACTCCAGGTTAGGCTCATTAAAATGTCCTGCACCTTTCTACACACTCTCTTCTCCCACCTGCTGGTGGCATGCAGAGCATCCAATAGCGGCTTCTGAGGCCCTGGGAAATGGTGGAGCCACAATATGGGAAGAGCCTGGATCCCTGAATGACTGCTAGGAGCAGAGTGCAACCTCCACCTCACCGCTGACCCCACTGCCCATTGACAAGAGGAAGAAATAAACTATTATCACGTCAAGCCACTGAAATGTGTTGATGTTGTTATAACAACATAACTACATGGCAGACTGTTAGCTTACCATGATTGAAATATTATCTTTCCATCCAAATTGGCCTTTGTCCTTCAAATATCACCTCAAGCGCCCTCTCCCAAGAAGCCAGCCTGATTGTTCACTCTAGCCTCACCCTCCTTTTAATTCCCATGGTACTTGTTACCCACATCACACAATTCACCTCTTAGCATTTTCTTTTTCCAAAGCAGTACTTCCTAATGAATTGTAAGCTTCTCAAGGCAGGAATCATGTGTTAGTTTTTTGTATCTTCACAATGCCTAATAATAATGATAATAGCTAACATACATATTGCTAATCTTAAATAATAAGATGCATAAAATATGATTACACATAGAGTTTACTTGAGTGTGCGGATAGCCACCTAGGAGACCTCAACTCCAAACGAATGGGTTCAGCGTTCCAAAGTGGAGAAGTTAAATTTTACTTGTACAGAGAGAGACAGAAAAATTTAAGCAGGATTATAACGTTTTCCACACAAGACAGTGCATATGTTACAGTGATTGGATTGGTTACAGGATGTTGCATCCCAATGAAGATGACATTATTACTCTGTAGGAGGGGGAGTGATCTGAGGGGGTTTTATCTCCGGCACCACTTAGTCTCAATTGTTTACAGGGGGAAAAACGGCAGAAGTTGCAGCTGCATGACATGTGACTCAGGCTGCATAGTCACATTCCTCTGAAGACTCAGAACAATTTAAGCTCCAACAGCTTTCAGTTTGAATTATTTGGCTGGGTGCAATGGTTCATGCCTGTAATCCTAGCACTTTGGGAAACCGAGGTGGGTGGATCACCTGAGGCCAGGAGTTCAAGACCTGCCTGGCCAATATGGTGAAACCCCATCTTTACTAAAAATACAAAAAATAGCCAGGCGTGGTGGTGCACACCTGTAGTCCCAGCTACTCAGGAGACTGAAGCACGAGAACTGCTTGAACCCAAGGGGTGAAGGTTGCAGTGAGCCAAGATCATGCCACTGCACTCCAGCCTGCTGTGCTCCAGCCTGGGTGACAGAGCAAGACTCCATCTCAAAAAAAAAAAAAAAAAGGTTTGAATTATTTAATTTCACAATATTCTGTCCCAGGAATCATTATATATATAACATATATATATCGTGCTTAATATTATACATGTAATATATATAATTATAACATATTATACAATTATATATGTGCATTTAGCTTCATGACAACTCTGTGATGTAAATGGTACTGTTATCCCCAACTTATAGGTGAGGACGTTGAAGCACAGAGAGGTTCAGCAACTTGCTCAAGGTCACACAGCTAGTAAGTTTCGTTTGTGTCTTCCCTGGTAGGGCTTGCTAGTGGCTCAAGCACAAGAAGCTGGGTCAGACTTAGAGACCTGGCTTCTTTGACATAGAATAAAGCTAAGAGGACTTGAAACCTGATTCAACCCTCTCATTTGATACATGTGGAAACTGAGGCTCATAGAAGGCTGGTAGCTTGTCCCAGCTCACCAAGTACAATAAGCCCAGCGATAGGGCCACAACCTAGGGCTCTAAGCCCCCAGTCTACAGCTCTGATGGTGCCAGGCTGTTGTTTATATTATTTGGTCTCTTGCTCCCTTACATGTTCAGCAGATGGCAGTGTCTTCAGAGTGTCTCCAAAGAAATCTTACATTCACTTAGGGAATGCAGCGTCTCTGGGTTATCTGTTAAGGGAGGAAGCATTGTGGACTGCTGCAAGTTTGCCTCTCCATCCTTCTCTGTCCTTAGCACCCTTGGTGTGGGAAACAGCCTCTCTTCTGGGTGCCTCCCAATCACTGCCATGGGCCAACTGCACTGGGGTGGGGTGTGAGGGGTAGGGAGATGGCAGTCCTGAAAATGTAAGGCAGCCAAGACTCAGAAAGACACATCTGTGCCACTACAGAATTTCTCTACTAGGATCCAGGAGGGACAGCCAGCTGGTAGGAAGGAGCTCTGGGAACTCTCCGTAAGCTGTGTTTACACTGACAAGCACACTGCTTTAATTAAGGCTCTGTATTCATTTGAAAGAGGTGTCCTGTCTTACTAAATTGTTGACTTTCTGAGTACAAAAATTAGATCTGATGCTTCTTTGCAGCCTTCTAGAGCTAAGAACATTGTTGTGTGTCCAGAGTGTTTCTATCCACTCTCCAAACCACCAGTACAGTTAGTTTTAACGCTAAAATTCAGTAATTATCATCTGGCAATTGCATTGTTTATAACCCAACCACTTTCCTGACTGCTGGACTTACATCTCTGGTGAAACTAAAAGGTTCTCTTCCACCGAAACTCTTCCTGGAATTTTCATCTTTTAATCCTGCTCCATTTACACAGGTGTACTCTGCATTTACACAGGTACACTCTCACCTTTAGAAGAGGGCTTAGAGCCTTGATATCTTCTATCAAGTGATTTGGTGTCGGGCATTGCTCATTCTTTGTTCTTCTGATTCTCAAGACAGCCTGAGAAGATGTCATTCCCACAGCTGAAAATAAGGAATTTGGATACAATGCTGTTTCCACCACATCAGAAAAGAATATCCGTGAACTCTCTTGCAGGAAAATGGGAATTTCCAGAGAGAAACCACTTTTCCCCTTTCTTCTCTCCCCATGTCCTCTTCAGGAGCCTATAATTGGGCTCTGCCAGCATCCTCTGACTGGCTAACGATGGGTCAGACATCTGTAGTAGTAACAAAACGCTCTTTTTCTACATGTCTACACTTCCTGGGGAGTCTTTGCTTAAACCTCTACTGGCCCTCCTCCGATCAAAAGTCAAGAATGTTCCCCTCCCTGTCCAAGACTAAAATGAACAAGTAAGGAAATAGATTTTACTCAGCCTATTTCAACAGGGAGAGCACGCCAGAGACGATCAGTGTCTTGGCAGCGCAGTTTTGCCTTTTATAGGGAGGAAGGTGGAATGATTGACAGTTGGGATTGTTTTGCAATCAGGATAAGTTTCAGTCAGGTGAACAGAAAATATTCTCTAACTAGTTTGGGGTCGGGGGAGTGTTATAATCTCAACTCATTACTCGATTATCATCAGCAGGAATTTAAGGTCTGTCTGGCTTTATTAACAGGCTCAGAATAAAGGGGAAAGGTCTGTTTGTCCTCGTCACAGGCAAACAAGGGGGTCATCTGCACGCGTTTTATCTGAGTCACGTGGCGATGGGTGGTTCTTCACAGTGTGCCGTTCCAGAAACACAAATAAATGAAGGGGTTTCTTAATCACCGCTGTTTTCTAGGAACACAGGGCCCAGGTAAAGTTCAACTTCACCTTCCTCGGTGTTTCATCAGGGGAACCCTTCTGGAAGCAAAGATGTGTACTTCTTACTGCTGGCCAAATAGCTTCTTAACAAGGATGAAAGAGAGGAAGACGCTGGGAGAGGAGGCGCCGTGGCTCGCGCCAGTTAGTAACGCATCACAGCTCGCGGTCGTCGAACTACAAGTCCCAGGGAGCAACGCTCGCTTTCTCGCCTACTGCGGGCGCGAACGAGGCGCCTCGGGGCCTGACGGGAACCACAGTGGTTTGGCTGAATGACGGAAAAGTCATTTGAGCGGGTCTTCATTTTTCGGAAGAATATCTCAAAAGCTCTTCAAACAAGGCATGGACACAGAATCTAGAAAATGATAAAGAATCAATGATAACGTTATTTCCACGGGGGCCAGACCGGGATCCACCCGAGCAAGGTATTTAATTAAAGCCCGAGCTCCAGCTCAGTTTTCCCAGGAGTCTCCTTTCCGGCCGTGCCTTGGCGTCATTGCTGTTGCGTCTTCTCATTGGCTGGTTGACGGGTTGCGGCGCCTGCGCGCTGCATTCCTTTGAGGGTCGTGGGCAGACGCCATTTTGGCCCCAGCGGTGCTTCTAGGAAGTAGAGCGCCGGCTCGCGTGCCTGCCCGCCTGCCAGCCTGCCAGCCTGCCAGCCTGCCTGGGCTTCCAGGTCAAAGCGTTCGCCGTTGCCGCTGCCGCTTTCTTACTCTCTGCACCCGTTAAGTTCTCCGGTCGGGCGGGAGTCTCTGAACGCTCAGCCGCGCCTTCCGGGGTCACACCGCCTGGAAGGAGGTGACGGGGGCGGCGCGGGGCGCGGACACTCCCCGCTGAGAGTCCGCCTGCCATGGACTCGGAATATTACAGCGGCGACCAGTCAGGTGGGGCAGGGACCTGGGGGACCGGGCTGGGGGGCGGAGCAGTTACTCGGCGGGTCTCGGCCTGGCACCCCGCGGGTGGGGGCAAGGAGGCCCCCGAAACCTTCCCTCCCGCGACCCGGCCCGAGGAGGGCAAGAGCCCACTGACCGGCTGCAAGCCTCGAAGCTAGAACGTTGGAGACGGGATTCTGGTGGGAAAGCTTTCTTCTGAATCGGCGAAGGTTTTTGCTGAAATTGGGAAGTCACTTTCGTATATTAAGCTCCTATTGTGTGCAAAGTGCTAGGGAAGGAGAGGTATCTTCTGTTAAGAGTTTTCAATAGTTGAGTAGTTGGAGAATCCAAGGGGCGATAGGGCGGGGGATCCTTCCTACACTTTTCACTCCTAAGGGAGTGGTTTAATTTTGCCTGCAACACCGGACATAAGTGCAGGACGCATGTTTCAGTTGCATGCATAGAGTAAGGAATGCACTTCTGGCACTTGTGATTTTTGTGCCTTTCTTCCACCTTGAGACGGTTCCTCTTTCTCCTCACCTTCCTCACCGAAGTTTGGTCTCCTTTCTTTACTGTTTGTTCTGTAAACTCTTACTGGGGCCCACTCTGCTGGCACGGTGCTCGGCACCTGAGATTAAGGATAAGTGAAGCAGAACCTGGTGTGGGAAACACGTGGGGTTTGCTTTCCCTTTGTGTGCTAGTTGTACTGGGGGTTCTGTCTCAAAAGTTCTTAAATACACCCACTATGTAGCCACAAAAATTGAAAATTAAAAAAAAAAAAAATTAAAAAACCTTGAGTTCTCAATGGTTTAAGCGTTAAGCTCTTTACTGTTTTGAGTTCATTGGTTTTCCTTACATAGGACAGTGAATTGTAATGACTGCAAAGGGTTTTCCAAGCATGCACTGCTTAAAAACACCTTCCTAAGCCAGGTGCGGTGACTTATGCCTGTAATCCCAGCACTTTGGGAGGCGTAGGCGGTCAATGGCTTGAACCCAGGAGTTCGAGACCAGCCTGGGCAACATAGTGACACCAACACCACCCCCACCCCCAACCCTTGTCTCTACAAAAAATGCGAAAATTAGTGTGGTGGTGCACAACTGTAGTCCCAGCTACTCAAGAGGCTGAAGTGGGAGGATCCTTTGAGCCCTGAGCCCGGGAGGCAGAGGTTGCAAGTGAGCGAAATACACCACTGCACTCCAGCCTGGGTGACAGAGCAAGACTCTGTCTCAGAAAAAAAAACACTTTACTGATACTTTCAAAATAGTTTTTTTTTCCATTCATTTGTGTTTTTAAGTTACTTTTTAAAAAGTGGACCGGGCACGGTGGCTCACGCCTGTAATCCCAGCACTTTGGGAGGCTGAGGTGGGCGGATCACCTGAGGTCAGGAGTTTGAGACCAGCCTGGCCAACATGGTGAAACCCTTTCTCTACTAAAAATACAAAAAATTAGCCAGGTGTGGTGGCGGGCGCCTGTAATCCCAGCTACTCAAGAGGCTGAGGCAGGAGAATCATTTGAACCTGGTGGGTGGAGGTTGCAGTGAGCTAAGATCACACCATTGCACTCCAGCCTGGGCAAAAGGAGCAAAAAAAAAAAAAAAAAAGTAATTATATGTAATACCTGTACATAGGTTAAGTACTAAAACAGGTAACAGAAAAATAGCAGTTCCCTGACTTACTCCCTCCACCCACTTCACATTCTTTTAGCTGTTTGGGGTGTTTACCTGTGTATTCCTAATTCGTTCACTCTCTTGCTGCATCATTTTTAGGCACTCTCTAATGATGTTCTGTTATGCTAGGACATTTTAGCCTATGTGCCCCCTTCTGCCCTGTCTTCCCACTGTTGCAGCATAATCGTTAAACTTCAAAACTATTTTTATCATGACCGTATATTCTTCTTAGCTAAGTAGATTAGCTCATTAATATGATAGTATCATAGTGATTCTTCTTTTTTTCTTTTCCCCATGTGGCTGCCTAAAGGAGAATGTGATTTCATTCTTATAGAACGTTTTGGTTTTCCTGTAGTTGACTACTTCATTTTTTTAAAACTTGCTTATTTTTATAAAACTGTTAAGTCTTCCTATCTTCTCAACCCTAACTTCCTCTCAATACGATTTTACTCTGTATTTTTAAAGCATTGGGGCTGGGTGTAATCCCAGCACTTTAGGAGGCAAAGGCAGGAGGATCGCTTGAGGCCAGGAGTTTGAGACCAGCCTGGACAACATAGCAAGACCCCATTTCAACAAAAATATTAAAGAAAGTTGGGTAACAGTTTTTATTTACCATTTTATATATGCTTTTCTTGAAGAAATTTTCAGTAGTTTTGGACTGGAGTTCCTAGTGTTCTTCATTTGTAAACAAATACTTACTGTATATCAGGTACTAGGCAGTGTTCTGGGCTCCAGAGATTTAGCAGTGAACCAAAATCCCTGTTCTTGTGGCACTTTCATTCAAGTGAAGAAGACCCACGTTAAACAAAATAACTTCAGGTAGTAATATTAGAAGGTGGTAAATGCCCTGGAGAGAAAGAAAGACCCAATTTTAACATGAGGTTGAAATAAATTGTTGACTTGGTGTTTAGTGTTGTTTCTTAAGCTACAAATTGTTTTTATGGTATAGTTTTGCTGCCACATATTTCACAGTACGTGTTATGATTGTTGGTATTTGTATGAGTATTGTCTTATTCAAAATATTAGCATCTTTAGTTTTGCTACCTCAGTGGTAACTTTTGCATTTACGTTATTCTTGATTCAGTGTGTTCATTTCACTGTAGATGTCATTCATCTTACACCATAAGTTGGTTTTTGTTTTGTTTTTAATCAGATGATGGTGGTGCTACCCCAGTGCAGGATGAACGGGATTCAGGGTCAGACGGTGAGGATGATGTAAATGAGCAACACTCCGGATCAGACACTGGAAGTGTAGAACGTCATTCAGAGGTATTGGCTAACCAACATCTTTGGGAGGGCTTTTCCCTTGCATTCTGTGAGACCTGTTATGTTATAGGAGTTACAGAATCTCTGTGACAGTTTAGAGTTTAATCTCTGAGAGAAAAGGAGCATAAGTTAATAGAAAACTGCTTGAAAAATAAATAGGGATGGTCTGGTTACTGTTGAAATCACAGTGAAATACGTTCTGATTGGGTCACATTTCAAATGTTGGGCAGCTTTCAACTGTGCGTATTGATTCAGAAAATGGGCCTGGCCTTTGATATTTGACTAAGTTTCCCTATTCTGCAATAATGTCGTAGTGGGGCCTTGAGCATTTGCAATCTGAAGGAATACCACTTGAAGGTTACGGGGGTTATCACCTGTCAAAATTTATGTCAGCATTCGCCCTTCTCATTTTGAACTGTTATGGTGTGTATAAAGTATGTAACAATGCTTTTTTTATTTGAGACAGTCTTGGCTCTGTAACACAGACTGGAGGTACAGTGGTGAGATCTTGGCTCACTGCAGCCTCCGCTTCGTGTGCTCAAGACATCCTCCGACCTCATAGCCTCCTGAGTAGCTGGGACTACAGGCATAGGCCACCACGTCCATCTATTTTTGTTTTCTTGGTAGAGTCGGGGTTTCACCATGTTGGCCAGGCTGGTCTCAAACTCCTGACCTCGAGTGATCTGCCCGCCTCAGCCTCTCAAAGTGCTAGGATTACAGGCGTGAGCCACCCACCTGGCCTGCAAATATAATTTTAAGAGCTGTTTCTGTTTAATAATACAGAATAGTATTGGGTTTTGTGTACATTTTAACATATTTGGCCTAATACATAAATATTTCAGAACTGTTTTATTTGCCTTTCTGGTTATACATCATGTTAACAAGATAAAATTGGGAAATTTTTCAATAAATTTGCCTTAGGTCTTCAGTAGACATGACTGAAACAGGAATGATAAAGATGGAAAGATTTAAGAACTTTCTATGCCTTATATTTTTCTTGATTACACATATGCAGAAAATTGTCCAATTTTTAGTAGGTATGATTAGAGATTGTATTATTGACTCTGTCCTGTGACAGTACATTAGTATATCATACATTCAGCAAGTATTTATTGAGCGCCTAATATGTGTCAGACTCTTTTTGCAGGTGCTTTGGACTTATCAGTGACTAGAAGTTAAAATCTTTCTCTTCTTAGGTATGTTTTTCCAGTAGGGGGAGAAAGACATTCAGCAATAAACTTTTTTTTTTTAATTGTATACTTTGCTAGAAGGTAACATGCTGTGAAGAAAACAGATAATTAGAACAGAACAAAGGATGGAGGTCAGGCTTTGGTGTTAAATAGGGACCATATAGGCCTTTTATTAAGAAAGTGGCATTTGAACCAAGGTGTGAAGGGAGGCAAAGGAATAGCCATGTGGATATGGACGTTTAGGGGAAGAACATCCCTGGCAAAGACCCCAAGGTGAGAGTGTGCTTGATGGCTTCAAGGAGCCAGTGTAACTGAAGTGGAGTCAGTAAGGAGTAGGGGAGGTCAGAGAACTAAATGTGGGTGTGGAAAAGGCTCATCTTCTATATATTTTGATGTCACTCAAGTATTTTTCTGTGCTTTTAAACATTCAGAGTAAATTCCAATATTTTAATTAATGATAGTTGGAAGTTACTTAGTAATGTGTATGTTGTCACAGACTGTCCCAGACTTAAACAATAGTTTGACTTAAAAATTTTCAACTTTGCAATGTTGCAAGTGCTGTATGCATACTTTGAGTACCCATACAACTATTCTGTTTTTCACAGTATTCAATAAATTACATGAGATACTCAACATTCTATTATAAAATAGGTTTTGTGTTGGGTGATTTTGTCCAACTGTGATTTTGTCCTTACCTCTGTTTGGAGCACATCTAAGGTAGGCTAGGCTAAGCTGTGATGTTTGGTGGGTTAGATATATGAAATGCATTTTTGGCTTAATGATATTTTCAACTTACTATGGGTTTATCAGGCTATAACCCCATAATAAGTTGAGGTGCTCCTGTATCTGTAAAGTTTAAAGAAAAAAATTAAAACCAGCATACTCCAACTACAGAAATGACTGTGAGCCTTTTCACATTATTTCTCCTGCAGTTTCATTCTGTCCCATGTATATGATGTGTATATATTTTAACTTTACTTGAGATTTTACTATATATATTTTGTATCTTTCTATCTATATCTATGTATTTTGAGACAGAGTCTTGCTCTGTCCCAGGCTGGAGTGCAGTGGTGTCATCTCGGCTCACTGCAACCTCTGCCTCCCAGGTTCAAGCGATTCTCCTGCCTCAGCCTCCCGAGTAGCTGGGATTACAGGTGTGTACCACCACGCCTGGCTAATTTTTGTATTTTTAGTAGAGACAGGGTTTCACCATGTTGGCCAGGCTGGTCTCAAACTCCTGACCTTGTGATCCGCTGGCCTTGGCCTCCTAAAGTGCTGGGATTACAGGCATGAGACACTGCACCCAGCCTATATATTATTTTTATCTCTTCACTTAAGATTATACTTTTAGGTGTTTCCCTGTGTCATTGAACGTTCTCAATAAGTGTAATGTTTAATGGTTTCACAATAAGCAGCATTACTTACTCAGCAATTTTCTAATTGTTGTAATTTATGCTGTTTAGCTGTTATATTGAATAACTGAAGCTGCCCTGAAGATTTTTGTACATAAACATTTGTGATCATTTTTTGTTTCCTTAGAAAGCTGCCAGGAGAATTGAGATTAAAGAGACTAAGACATTTTAAGGCTCTTCATAGAATTCCTCTCCAGGAAGGTTATGCTAATTTGCTAAACCACTAGTACTTCGAGAGTGCCAGTTGTACTGTATATAAGTGTTGAGTTCTGTATTAATGTTCTTTTGCCTGTTTAAAATGACTTTTAAGAAGAAATTTTGTTTTCTCATTAAAAATTTTTTTTTAGAAGTAATGGGATGTTAAAAGAGTACAGTTGCATTAAATGAAGCAGTGCAAGGGCCAGGCATGGTGGCTCATGCCTGTAATCCCAGAACTTCGGAAGGCCAAGGTGAGCAGATCATGAGGTCAAGGATCAAGACCATCCTGGCCAACATGGTGAAACCCCGTCTATACTAAAAATACAAAAATTAGCCGAGCATGGTAGTTCGCGCCTGTAGTTCTAGCTACCTAGGAGGCTGAAGCAAGAGAATCTCTGGAACCCAGGAGGTGGAGGTTGCAGTGAGCGGAGATCGCGCCACTGCACTCCAGCCTGGCAACAAAGCGAGACTCACTGTCTCACAAACAAGAACAAAACCAAAAAAATGGGGCAGTACGAATTACAGGTCCAAAGCCTAAAATATACTAGTTTCCTATTGAGGCTGTCACAACTTGATACAACTTGGTGGCTTAAGACAACAAAAAATTATTATCTTATAATTCTGGAGGTCAAGTCCAAAATGGGTCTCACTGGACTAAAATCAGGGTGTCACAGGGCTGTGTTATTCTCTGAGGAAAAGCACATTTCCTTGCTTGCTTCAGTTTGTAGTGGCTACCTGCATTTCTTGGCTGAGGCTCCTTCCTCCGTCTTCAAAACCAGCAGCATAGCGCCTTCACAACTCATTTCCTGACCTCTTACTCCGACCTTCCTGCTTCGCTCCTGTACGAGCCTTTGTAATTATAGTGGGGCCTACCTGGATAATCCAGGGTAATGTCCCTAGTTCAAGGTCCTTACCTTAATTACATCTGCACAGTCCCTTGCATGTAAAGTGACGTATTCACAGGTTCAACATGGACATTTTTGGGGGGCCATTATTTTGCTGCCATAAGATGGTACTCACAGCATAATTTTCCCAATAATGGTACTTTTTTTTTTTTAACCCCTCGTCTGTATTTTAGAATTTAGGCTAGTGTTTTTTTTTTAATTCATTTCATCTATAGTATTTACTCAGTACACACACACACAATCTTTAAGATAGTGGTCAGTATAGGAAATACTGATAAGATTTTGAAGACCAGTAATTTTTGCAGGTTTCTTAACCACTTTATTAAAAACTCCTTTAGTTATTAAAAAAAGAAACTTATTTTTTCTTAAAATAATTGTATATGTCTATAAATCTCGGACAGGTGACAGAACAAGTCTCATATCACACTGAGAAAACAAGAGTTTACTGTAATACATGTATGTAATGGGCTGTAAATCTTTCTGTTTAGGGAGCTTGTTCTGTCCATCTGTCTTTGGTGGGCCTGCCTAATGGCCATTTCTAATAACATCTCTGTTTATTCTTGTATGGTTGGCTTTATTTTTTTCTCCAAGATTTGAAAAACAGTAATCAAAATAAATGATATTTAAAAACTCAAAATTAATGCAAAAAAAAAGAGCAAAATACCAAAATCTTGGTTAGGATCTGTAACAATGCTGTGTTGGTCTATATTTGAGCCAGAGGGAAAAGGAAAAACCAGTACCAGTTACCCTATCTTCACATTTTAAATATTTTGTTCATCATGGGTTTTTTGCATCAACGTTGATCTTTAAAAAGCACCTGTCTTGGGCTGGGCTCAGTGACTCACTCCTGTAATCCCAGCACTTTAGGAGGCTGAGGTGGGTGGATCACCTGAGGTCAAGAGTTGGAGACCAGCCTGGCCAACATGGTGGTGAAACCCCGTCTCTACTAAAAATACAAAAATTAGCCAGGTGTGATGACAGGCACTTATAATCCCAGCTACTAGGGAGCCTGAGGCAAGAGAATCGCTCGTACCGGGAGGCAGAGGTTGCAGTTATCTGAGACCACGCCATTGCACTCCAGCTTGGGCAACCAGAGCGAAACTGTCTCAAAAAAAAAAAAAAAAAAGAATCGCCTGTCTTTTAAAAAGCAGCTTTTCTTTTTCCCCTCCCCTCCACTCCCTGTTCCTTTCCTGGCAGAATCTTACACGGTAGCCCAGACTGGAGCATAGTGGCACAATCACAGCTCGCTGCAGCCTCAACCTCCCAGGCTTAAATGATCCAGACCTCAGCCTCCCACG